TTTCATCCCTCCTCTTTGGGCTATTTCATATGTATAGCTAAAATAAGTCTATTTTCCTTCCCTCCTCTTTGGGCTGACATATGTATAGCTAAAATAAGTCTATTCTCTGTCCCTCCTCTTTGGCTGACATATGTATAGATAAAAAAAGTCTATTTTAGGTCCCTTTTCTTTCGTCCATGGCATATAATATGTCTATTTTTAGTCCCCTATTTTTTTTGTGTATCGGGCCTAGCTGTCGGCCCATCTTGCCGGGCCGGGCCAGCACAACGTGCCGGTGGAGGGGCTCAGGCACGGCCCGGTGGTCGGGCCGGGCCAGCACGGGCCCGACCTCCGTCGGGCCGTGCCGTGCTTGGGCCGGGCCAAAATACCGTGCCATGGGCCGGGCCGTCGGGCCTTGGGCCTTTTGGCCATCTATACTTTTGGGAGAAGACACCATATAAACGTGGTAATTTGCTAGCGGACACCGCACCCATTAAAATAATAATTTTCGGTAAATGGGGAGAGAGAAATTGAGTGAAATGTCGAAAATACCCCTGGATCCACGTGTTAGCTCTCCCATCTCTTCTCTCTCTCACCCACAAGTTTTTCTCTCTCAGGCAGGTGGCGGCAGCAAGTCCGCCGCCGCGGTGCTGGTCGTGGCCTGCTTCCTCCTCGTCGCCTTCGCTCCCCCGCAGCGGCGGCGCCGCTGGACATCATGTCGATCATCAGGTACAACACGGAGCACGGCGTGCGGGGGCTGGGGATGGTGAAGCGGATGGAGGCAGAAGCGCGCGCCACGTACGACCTGTGGGACGATGAGTTCCGCGCCACCAACGACGAGTTTCGCGCCACCTACCTCGGCACCAGGCTCGCCAGCAGAGGACGCCACGTCGGGGAGGCGTACCGCCACGACAGCGTCCGCGCATGCGGCGGCCCAAGAGCCTGAACGCGTTCGACATCATCGCGTCGTCGCTGAGCTTCGACCTGTCTGAGCTGTTTGAGGAGCGCGGCGAGAGGATGCACTTCATGTCCGGCGCGCTGGTGGCCGACATCATCGCCAAGCTGGAGGAGATCGCCGGCATGGTGAGCATCGAGGCGACGCGGAACGGGCATAAGGGCGCACTCGCCATCTCCTCCAAGGTGTTCGAGCTCACGCGGGAGCTCGTCATGGTCCAGGTGTGCAAGAAGGCCGGCGACACCGCCGAGTACCGCAGGTTCTGCGACAACGAGCTCAAGGCCGGCATGCGCGGCCTCGTCGTCGACGCCCTGCCGCCTCCGGTGGATCCTGATGAATGTATCATGTGGCACTGTTGCTGTTTAATTAGGCTGCTAATACCCTGTTCTCATCGTTGTGCTCATTAAATTTGGGAAAGATTGTTCATTGGTAAGCCTATGAGCTGTTAATTTTGGAGTTCTGTTGATTCTCCATCTTCTTGCCACGAGAGAGAAACATCTAGCGAATCTCGATTAAATTGCCGGCGTCGAGGCTCTTCCGGACTCCCTGGACTGGAGGGACAAGGGCGCCACCATAGCCAGTTAGCCACGTGGCCGCCGTCGTCCTGAACCCACTACCACCACCGGAAGCAGGCCACGGCCAGCGCTGCCGCGGAAGCAAATTACCACGTTTATAAGGTGTCTTCCCCAAAAGTCACTTCGTGCGGTGTCCTACAGCTAAAACCGCGAAGTCACAGTGTCCTGTAGCAAAATTTGCCTATTTTTTTCTCGTCCTCCGCCACTGCCCTCGGGCTCACTTGAAGATATAGTAGAGAGAGAAAGAGAGAAAAGAATAAGAAAGAATAAAGAAAATGAAAAAAATTCGAAGGGTAGAACCGTACTTACATAGCAGCTATTTCTCTCTCTTATAGAACCGTACTTACACAACTATTTCTCTCTCCTATTCCTCCGAAAATAATAAAATAATGTTGGAGGTGTCCAGGAGCTAATTACTATTTTTTTGTGATGCCCTAAAACAAATACGTGTTCTTACGGTCTCCTAGCTAATTACACGTTTTTTTATGTCATGTAGCAAATTTTGCCAAAATGATTAATAGTCATAGATGACATACCATATAGAGGAAGGCTGGTGAAAATTAACTGTGACAGGTGGCATACCATATATGGAGGGTTCCATGGTGGTGACATGTGACATACTAGCTGGTAGAGGGTTGCATAGTGACAGGTGGCATATCATCTAATGGAGGGTTGCATTATGAAATTAATGTAGACAGGTGGCGTACCATATAGTGGAGGGTTGGTGAAATTAATGCAGACAGATCGTATATCATACAGTGGAGGATTGGTGAAATGAATGGTGATAAATGGCATACCATAAAGTGGAGGGTTGGTGAAATTAATGCTAGCAAGTGGTATATCATATAATGGAGGGTTGGTGAAATTAATGATGACAAGTGGCATACCATAAAGTGGAGGGTTGGTGAAATTAATGCTGACAGGTGGTATATCATATAGTGGAGGATTGCATTATGAAATTAATGGAGACAGGTGGCGTATAATATAGTAAAGGGTTGGTGAAATTAATGCTGACAGGTTGTATATCATACAACGGAGGATTAGTGAAATTAATGGTTGAAAGTTGTATATCATAAAGTGGAGGTGAAATTAGTATTGGCAGATGGTATATCATATTGTGAAGGGTTGGTGAAAATAATGCTGGCAGGTGGTATATAATATAGTGAAGAATTGGTGAAATTAATGGTGATAAGTGGCAGACCATAAAGTGGAGGTTTGGTGAAATTAATGCTGACAGTTGGTATATCATACAGTGGAGGGTTGGTAGGGGTGGATAGGGCCGGGTCAAATTATCTACCCGTGGGGCAGTCAGGGCGGGGCCCTGATCTTGAGCGAGGCCTGGGGCGTGTTTGTAGTTTTACCCCCGGGTGACCTAAGGGGCCTCGAAAATACAAAACAAAAGATAAACACTTAATAGCCCATTACAAATAAAGCCCACTAGGCCCAAGGAAAGTACACCTCAAGTAACCCTCGATATCTTTAACTCAATCCCTTTCGCTCCCACTAGCACACACCGTCATGCGCTCGTGATTCCATCCTGATGCCACATTCGCCGCTTCTCGCTTTCTCACATGGCCCCTTTCCATCCTGACTCCCGACACTGCTGCTCGCATATGGCGCTGCTAGTGGAATCGACGCTTCTCGCCTCGCCACCGGAAGCACCCCTAGTTCACCGCTGGTGAGGTCTTCTGTTATATTTCGTCCACCTCTTCTCGATAGTCCACCTAGCCGCTACCTTGTGTACGTTCCAGCTTGCCAGCTAGCCGGCAACTGGCTTCGATCTCCTCTCCCTCCATCATAACAGCGGCACCCGGTGCTCCTCTAACATGGCAGCTTCGTGGTGGCTTCATCTTCTTGTTATCTTCTCCACCGAGGACCCGGTAGGGGGTGGGGACCCGTAAGGGCTAGGGACGGGGGCAAATATCCCCCAATTTGGAGATCGGGGCTGGGGCCGGGTGACGAAGTCGGGGGTCAGGTACTGGGGCGTTGGGCTGTCAGAAAAGCTCAAGGCTCGCAAGCTACTTAAACTCGATTCGTCTTAGACTCGGTTCAAGCTCGACTAGAACATCAAACGAGCCAAGCCCGAGCTCTCACACCGAGGCTCGCGAACCTCACTGAGTCGAGCTCGAACGGCTCGACGAGCCCAACTGATCACTTACAATTAAAAAAGCACACCTTGTTACTTTGCCACACGTTACAAGCTCACGGCAAGTCTGAACCTATCTTCATTTAATTTTTCACAACAGCTAGTTTTCTCCACGAAGCCAACCATCCAGCACATTTTCCAACAAAAAGTTGCATGGTAGACTTGTCAGTAATAGGGTGCATCTCCAATTCTCCATCGGTGCAGTGCATTGTTGCATCATCTTTCCCATAAGAGCAAGTTTAATAGTATAGTCTACTACTAGCTCCAAATCATCTATAGCCAATGTAATAGCCAATTCATACAATAATTGCTTACTATACTATTAATATATGGTCCCATCTGTCATATACACATTACGTCTTGGAGTCCATGCTGCAGCTAGCTACAGATCTGTAGTCCGCTGCTCTTCTCTTTCTTCCTTTATCTCTTTAAAATATGTTTATAGCTAGCTTATAGCCTGCTATTGTACTTGCTATAAAGCCTGCAAGGAAAGTACTAGTAGTACTACTACTTCAAGCAGTCAAGCTCGCTGCTACTAAGTACTACCACTTCAAACAGTCAAGCTCGCATGCCTATAATATAGCTATGCCAATACTCCGAGCTTGTGAAAAGCTCAAAGTTCGAACGAGCCGAATACGAGCCTAACATAAAGATCGAGACATGATGAGGCTCGGTTCAAGTCTATTCCAAACTCGAGCCTAGATAAGCAGGCTCGCTCGAGCTCGGCTCGTTGACAACCCTACTAGGGTGTTCTGGTCCAACTTGCCCTCAACACGCCCCATTGCCATCCCTAAAGGTTGGTGAAATTAATGATGATAGGTGGCATACCATAAGGTAGAGGGTTGGTAAAATTAATGCTGCCAGGTGGTATATCATATAGTGGAGGGTTGGTGAAATTAATGATGACAGGTGGCATACAACCAGTGATGGGTTGTATGGTGCAATTAATGGTGACAGGTGGCATACAAGTTAGTGGAGGGTTGCATGGTGAAATTAATGATGACATGTGTCATATCATCTAGTGGAGGGTTATATGGTGAAATTAATGATAACAGGTGGCATATCATATAGTGGAGGGTTCGTGGCATTAATGTTGATAGGTGGCATACCATATAGTGGAGGACTGGTGACATTTGTGCTGATTGGACCAGCTAATGGTGGGTTGTATGGTGAAATGAATATTGACAGGTGGCATATTAGTCAGTGGTGTGTTATATGGTGAAATTAATAATGACAGGTGGCATACCAGTTAGTGGAGGGTTGCAGGGTAAAATTAATGGTGACAGATGTCATGCTAGCTAGTGGACCATTGCATTCATTTTCTTGGCTTGGATTGAGGTAGCAAAGACCTTGTGTTTATCAAGTTCAAGGCTATAAATCACTCCCTTCTCATCATAACAACTACACATACAGAAAACATCTTGGCTAGCAATTTCCATGGAGAAAATCCAAGTGACCACACCCATGGCAGACTCCTCGTTCAATCCGGAGTTTCTGCAAGCACATGCAGAGCTTTGGAATCTCACCTTTAGCTACCTGAAAGCCATGGCGCTTGAGTGTGCTATCAAGCTTGGGATCCCCAACGCCATTCATCGTTGTGGTGGTTCTGCCTCACTATCGGAACTGGTCATCTCCATTCCAGTGCCTGAGACTAGAAAGCCTCATCTGCCTCGCCTCATGAGGTTTCTTGCCGCGGTAGGTGTTTTTTCCCTCGATAACCCAACTATTGATGAAGAGGTGACCGAGAAAGGCATGGGCATATACCGCCTCACACCATTGTCTCGCCTCCTTGTGGATGGTAGCATCGGTGGGCATGGAAGCCTCTCTCCGTTTGTGCTCTCCCAAACCACCAAGTATCATGTGTCTGCAGCTATGAATCTATCTGACTGGTTCATGACTGAGGACAAAGAGGTTGCCATAGAGATGCCATTTAGGGCTGCTCATGGCACAGACTTGTGGGGTGTTATGAGTCGTGATGCTAACATGAATGAGGTGTTCAATGCTGGCATGGGTTCCGATAGTCGTCTTGCAATCAATTTTATTATTAGCAAATGTGGTGAGGTGTTTGAGGGGATTAGCTCATTGGTTGATGTTGGTGGTGGTACTGGCACAACAGCAAGAGACATTGCTAAGGCTTTCCCACATATCAAGTGCTCGGTACTGGATCTTCCAAATGTAATCGATACTATCACGGTGGATGGCATAATTGAGTATATTGCAGGTGACATGATGGAACAAATCCCACCAACTGATGCCGTGCTGCTCAAGGTACAATCAAAGACCTAAATTTAGAAAAAAAATCCTTTACTTTTATGCATTACTGTTGTGACATATATCATATTTTATTGGTGCCTAATTGTGTTCAATTCATTAACTATTACATGCAGTATATTCTACATGACTGGAACGATGAGGATTGTGTAAAGATCCTAAAACAATGTAGAAATGCTATTCATGCTCAGAAACCAGGAGGAAAAGTTATTATCATAGACATAGTGGTTGGATCCCCTTCTAAAGACATGTTTGAAGCTCAAGTTTCATTTGATCTATTGATGATGGTGATAACATCAGGCAAGGAACGTGATCAGCATGAATGGCATAAGATATTCATGGATGCGGGATTTAGTCATTACAAGACAAGGCCTGTTTTGGGGTTTTTGGCCATCACTGAGCTCTATCCGTAGAAGGAATCCCAACATGTGTTTGCTTTTCAATATGCATGTTTTAGCTTGGGCCCAATAAAGTGAATATGCATGCCTCCATTGGTTTGCATATTTACTATGATCGGTTGAAAGTCCAAGATGGAAATTAATAAAGACAATACTTTAGCAAACTTATTTTGTTTTCTTCCCTTTGAATTGTTGTCATACTACATATCATACTTCGAACCACTTTATGATCATTGTTCTCTCACTTGTGTGAAGATATTATGAACAAAAACAGTCCAAGAACATGTTGATGTTGTAATGATGAGTACATATAATATGTACTAACATAAAAGCCTCAATTCTAATCTTTCCCACTCTTTCCCATAAAAAGAGCTTCAATAATATATCTAACATAGATGTCTGAAAAATAGAGTATTGAATGATACATTATACTCCCTTCGTCCCACAATAGTTATCATTCTAGGTTGTTTAGGATAGATCAAGGTTTAATAAAAAAGACTATAATACCCCTTATTGAATAATGCATGATGGGAAGTAGAATGGTTATTGAGGGTAAAATGGGAAAACTTTTGAATAGAAAGTGATTGATGGGACAATTAGCACTACATAGTGACAAGTATTTTGAGACAAAATTTGAATCATAAAAAGACAAGTATTTTGGGATGGAGTTACGACCTTTCTCTAGCGGCGCATGACTTGGTAGGGCAAGGGTTGGCGCGCATCATTCCTTGCTCCCGGTGCGAGTATCCCCACGCATGGCGCACCGTGCACACAGACATGTAGCATCACTGTCGAACTCCTAGATGTGCGAGAGATGACCCTCGAGCTACTAGGTGTTTGGACCTATTGGGTACACTACAAGAAATATGACCTTCTGTGACGAATTCCACTGTGATGAATTCCGCGTGACGTCAGAGCTATTCGTCACTAGCACATTCCATTTTATGACGATTAGAATGGGATGGGGTGGCTTTGTGACGAAAAAAAGGTGTTCGTCGTTAATATCAACTAGAAATCGTCATAAAGTATTTCAATGGGACATCATGATGAATATTAATTTGTCATAAGGGACACAAAGCAAACATCATAAATTTATATAATGCATTTCTACAAAAATATATTAAAAGCTAAAGCAATTTAATCAAGTGAATTAATGAAGAAACTAAAATTTTCCTTTAAACTCATGGCCGGAAATATTTTTTTAATATTTTAAGTGGTCTAAATAATTCTCTGAAATTTTCCATGAATTTTCGGTGCTCAATAACTAATTTTAATACCACAAAGTTCATTTAACCTATTAAAATAAATAGAAAACAAATTAAAATTCCTCTCTTTGTCCTTGGGCCTTTTTCGGCCCAAGTATTACTCTCTCCCTCCCTCAGCCCGCAGCCTCTCTCTCCCTCCTCCTCCCTCTTCAGGGCCGCCGGCCCAACCCTTTTGTTCCTCCCTCGCCGAGAAGTCTATTTTGCCTCCCTCCTCTCAATTCAAATAACATTTCGGGTAGTAAATGATTTCAAATAAAAAAATTACCAACAGCAAAGTTGTATAACTTATTAAGATCTAAAACTTTTTTTTTATCATTTTGCTATATGACTTTGTTTCAATAATTTGAATTTGAATTTCAAATTATGACAACTTCAAACAGCGTTTTCAAATATTAAATGATTTCAACTGAAAAATTCATCAACAATAAAGTTGTATAACTCATCAAAATCTACAAGTTTTGTTTCGGTCATTTTGCTATATGACTTTATTTCAATAATTTGATTTTGAATTTCAAATTTTGACAACTTCAAATAACATTTTCAAATACTAAATGATTTGAACTAAAAAAGTCATCAACAACAAAGTTGTATAACTGATCGATATCTAAAACTTTTATTTGGGTCATTTCTTCATCCGAGAAATTTATTTGTAACATTGTTCACAAGATGTTTATATCTTTTATATAGTTCATAAACTACAAGAGAGATATATAATTTTTGTTGAACCATTTTACTGTCACTTTATCGGATGAAGAAATGAACAAAATAAAAGTTATAGATATTAATGAGTTATACAACTAAGTTGTTGATGAAGTTTTTAGTTGAAATCATTTAATATTTGAAAATGCTGTTTGAAGTTGTCATAATTTGAAATTCAAATTGAAATTATTGAAACAAAGTCATATAAAAAAATGACCAAAATAAAAGTTATAGATATTGATGAGTTATACAATTTTGTTGTTGATGACTTTTTCATTTGAAATCATTTAGTATTTGAAAATATTGTTTAAAGTTGCCATAGTTTGAAATTCAAATATTATATAGGTCAATCAAACTCAGATGGAGAAATAACCAAAAATAAAATTAGTAGATCTCAATAAGTTATATAACTTTGTTTTTGACAACCTTTTCACATAAGTTCATTTAGTATGATTTTTTGTGTGTTACTTTATAATGGTAAAAGGTTAAAAAGAGATGGGATGAAAGAAGGCCTGTTATGGGCCGACCCTTTTGCTCTTTTCTCACCGAGAAGTCCATTTTATTTCCCTCCTTTCAATTGATTTCAGAATATTAAAACTTCGAATCAAATTTTATCAATGAACTTATGTGAAAAAGTTAGCAAAAATAAAGTTGTATAACTTATTGAGATCTACCTATTTTATTTTGGTTATTTCTCCATCTAAGTTTGATTGTCCTATATAAAATTTGAATTTCAAATTATGACAATTTCAAACAACATTTTTAAATACTAAATGATTTCAAATAAAAAAGTCATCAACAATAAAGTTGTATAGCTCATCAATATCTAAAACTTTTGTTTTTGATCATTTTGCTATATGACTTTGTTTCAAAAATTTCAATTTGAATTTCAAATTATGACAATTTCAAACAACATTTTCAAATACTAAATGATTTCAACTGAAAAAGTCATCAACAACAAAGTTGTATAACTCATCAATATCTATAATTTTTATTTTGGTCATTTCTTCATCTGACAAAGTGATAGTAAAATTGTTCAAAAAATTACATATCTCTCTTATAGTTTATAAACTATATAAGAGATATGTTTATCACTTTCTCGGATGAAGAAATGACCCAAGTAAAAGTTTTATATATTGATGAGTTATACAACTTTGTTGTTGATGACATTTTCAGTTGAAGTCGTTCACTAATAAAAAAAATTCTTTTTGAAGTTATCAAATTTGAATTTCAAATTTCAAATTATTCAAATAGAGTCAGAGGGAGAAATGACCAAAATAAAACTTTTGCATCTCGATGAGTTCTACAACTTTCGTTTTGGTGACTTTTCCATTTGAAATCATTTATTAACCCTAATTTTTGTTCGAAGTTATCAAATTTTGAAAATTCAAAATTTAAATTGTTCAAATGAACTTATTTGTAAAAAGGAACAATACAATAGTTACAGACCTTGGTGAGTTTTTAGCTATATGTCGTACAGATAGTTATATATGTAGATCAATCAAGTGGGTGATGTAATGATATTCAGTATCCAATCAAGCGATCATAACAAACTATTATGCATGGAATATATACTCTACATCTAAATTTAAAGCCTTTTCAACCAATCATCGTATCAGCTTAGTAAAAACATATATTTTAAAAAGAAAAGAAAAAATAGTAAAAATGTATTCATGTAGGAATATATTGCTTATTTGCTAGTAATTAATTTAATTGTAATTTGTTTTGTGCGAAAAAAGGAAATTAGGGGCCGGGAGTGTGAGTTTTCGGGGCTTTTAACTATTTACCACTTTTAGATTTGGCAATTAACTATTTGCCACACCTATCTCAATGACATGTGGGTCCACATGTGTCTATGACATGTGGGTCCAGTGGCAAATAGTTAATTGCCACATCTAAAAGTGGCATATAGTTCAATATCTCTGAGTTTTCAGCGTGGCGGGAGCAGAATGCGCCAAAAATATTTGAGGTGAAATGACCTTTTTGTCCAAACAGCCTTTAAAAATTACCACACACCATGGCTATTCTTGTAAATTCGCATCGAAGATTACTTGAAATCCCAGAATTCCAAATCTGAACGCTTCCCCAACCCTAGCCGCCATAGACAAATCCATCTCCCTCAACACCTTTGCTCCCCTGCTACCGCTGCCGCCGCCTAGTTGATCTCCGGCCGTCCCCTCCACCACCGCCTAGTCTATCTCCGGTCGCCCCTTCCACTGTACCCATCCCTTCTGTCGATGCAGACGAGTAGGACTCCGACCGTCCCCTCCGCCGTCGCAGACGAGTCGACTGCAGCCATCCCCTCCTCCTTCGCTCCATCCTTGGTACATGCGCAGGCCTCCATCTCCGCCGCCGCCGGGGTTGGGAGCGGCGGATCTGCCACCGACGGTGCTCCCGGGCCTAGGTGTGGAGATTATGGATACCCCATACCTACACGGCATGTATAGTCCGACTGGGTAAGGGGTGCCATGTATAGATAGAATATCTTTAAGAGGACTCGGGTTAAATTCCAAACTTGTATGTCAAGGAAATACCTGAGATCCTAGTCGGTTAGGATTGTATTTTATTTGTAACTATATATTCCGTTAGGGATATGGACTGTATTTTGTAATACAGACCCCTTCCCTTATATAAGGAGGGGTCCGGGTGCCTCTAGCTGCACGATTTTCACCCAGATCATACGTTCAATAATATACTCAGCGGATCAATCCTCGGACAGGAGTAGGGTATTACTTCTTGACTAAGAAGGCCTGAATCTGTATAAAATTCCTTGTCTCTAAACCCATCCACTTTTCCAGCTTGATAGCCACCCCCTTTTAGTATTGCCGAAATCTTGTTTTGACAGTTGGCGCGCCAGGTAGGGGTAGCGTCAAGTTCTTCGCTGACCAGTGCGATGGGTTTCGTTTCCGGTATCGACGACTCCGTCTTCCCTCCCAGGCAGGTGTTCCAATTCGGCAGCCTCGACTTCATCACCAACGACTTCGGCAAGATTTCTCTCCTCGACTCGGATTCAAACCAGTCGGGAAGAGACCAGGTCTCCGCCCCGTTCGGTATCCCGAACTCGGCCGAGGTCTACCCCAAGATCATCTCCACCGAGTTGGCTTCAAACCACTCGGACGAGATCCTATCTACTTCAACACGACCCGATCAAGACGATGGGGCCTATCCGCCGATCCTGATGAAATTCCCCGACGATTTGGCTGC